ATTGAAAAATTAGTTAAGGGAAATGATCATTCAATAGAAAAGCGGAACGACCATTCCAATGCAGCAACTGACCTTGTTGAATGGATTGATGCTGCAGATCGTGTAACATTTCTGTAGACTGCAACACCACAACAGGGCCATTGTGTGAATTTTTTAAAAATTCAATAGGTCTTAAGTAGATAATTTATTAATCTAAATACTTCTGATTTCATTATTTTAGGTTCAGCATCACATTTGAATCAAAATTAAGACATTTCATTCATCAGTGCAAAATTTAGCTTATTAATAAAGAAGGGACCAAAAAATTTATATTTTCATATTTCACCTTAATTTAAATGATTTTCATTCCGTGTTAGCTCAGTATTGTAGAGCATAGAAAGTAATTTATTCTGTCTCCCATTTACGTATTACTAGAAACTGAATGTAACTGACAATCATCTCACTTTTCATATGTAGTCTACTTTGTAATCATTTCCTAACATATCTGTGATATTTGGAATAGGAACAGCAAATCCATGTTGAGGTAGTTGGTATGGAATATATTACAATTTACAAATAATTTTTTAAAAATGCTTTGTTAAAAATTGATTTCTGCATTCACCAGCCCTAGGCTGGGCGAAAAAAAATCTTTCTTATACATGGAAAGAAGAGAAAGCTTATTAGATTCGACTTTGATAACAAAAAAAAAAAAAAAAAAGCAGATTGTTGACAGACGTTGTATAAAAAAGTTGCCAAAATCTTAGCAGACTTAAATTTTTGGTAATCACGCGCTTGAAAAAAAAAAGAATATTTTCTAGAAATATCTTGAACTGACTAAAACGCTTAACACATTTTAGTTATCATTTTCAACCATGACGAAGCTTTCTAATCATGATCTTAACCCCCACCCCCCGTTCCATTCTATAAAACTATCACTTTACTTCGAGCATATCCCACATGGTCGTCTGTGTCGATGAGCCAAACACTATGGAGTGAACAAACAGAATAGCACCTCTTTTGCAGCTTAGTCCTTTGAAAAAATAACGACCACCGGTATATGTAAGTTATGTATTACGTATCATTTTTCAAAACCGCCGAAGAAAGGAAACACTACACAACATGTAATGAGTGACTTGTTACTTGAGCGATGATGAGAGTGGACCAGAACAATAGGATCATAAAAATAACAAGCGTGAAGAGTTCAGCAAGTTGTTCAGAGGTAACTTTCACAAAGTGACTGATGAGTGAAGCAATGAGAGGAACGCAGAAATCTGATTATGGCAGATGATTGT